ACGCTCCTTACGAGATTGTCGTCTCTCAATCTGTCTTTGAGGAAATCGCGTTCTTGCACGTAAGAAACTGTCTCTTATACACATCTAGATGTGTGTTCCTGTTCTCTCGAAGAACCTCCGAATGACGCGTTTGGTCCTTTTTCAGGTCCTCGATCGCACTCTTCAATCGCATAACCGTCTTCCGTTCCTCCTCCAGATCGGATTGCGCTCGCCGCAACTCCTTCTTCTCTCCGATGCTCACTTCCATTTCGTACAACGACTCTTCGGGTTGCCGTCTTAACAGTTCTCGCTGCAATTCGACGTTCTTTTCGGCCATGGATTGCGCGTGCTCGTCTGCCTTTTTTGCGGCCGCCTCCACAATCCGTCTGCTTTTCACTTCCTCGTCGTATCGCTTGCAAGCCGTTTTTAGGTTTTCTTTCAAGACGTCCACCCGCTTTTCATACATGGACATCGCGGTCTTGGCGAGCGTCGACTCTTTCTTCAGCTCGCTGATTTTGTCGTCTTTCTCTTCGAACTCCTCTTCCATGTCGGCTTGCGATCTCTCTCTGTCTTTCAGTTTGCGGACGGCTTCCTGCAGCTTTTGCTGCAGCTCGCCGCCGCTCTCTTCCTGTGGCGTCTGCTTCGACTTTCTCCTCGCGGCTTTCAGATCCGATTCCAAGTGAACCACGTCCAGAACCCTTTCCTTCAGGGCATCCGTCTTGGAAGCGAGTTCGGTCTTGAGACTTTCGACCTCTTCCTCCGCGATGCTGCGAACGTCGGAAGATTCTCTCAACGCGGACATCTTCGCCTCGTGTATTTCGTCTTTTAATTTCTGTATGACGACTCTGGCTTCGGTGAATCTTCGTTCCTTTTCCGCAAGTTTGTCCTGCACCTCGTTCAGCTTCTGGTTGCCCAGTTCCAACGTACGTTCGTTCTCCTTCGCCGATTCTCGACGGTGTTCTGTATCAGCTTGCCTTCCTTGAAGGTGAAGAGCTTTCTCTCTTTCTTCGAGTTCAGAAAGCTACCGCCGAGGAACAGACAGTCGCACATGGTTCTCACCCTCTCTTTCATCTCGCTGTACTCGTTCGTCTCGAGAATTTTCGCCAGCAGGGAGAGCAGACTGCACAGGCATTCGAACAAATCTTTCAGATCGCACGCGACGTCCGGGTTCTCCTGGTCGGTCTCCATTTTGCCGCACACTGTTCCGGAGACGAAGGCGTCGACGAATCGACGTTCGAATCCGTTGACGCGCACCAGCTGAGGGGACAGACCCATCATCGAACCCGACGGTGCGTATCCGGATCTGTACGCCGTAGAAACCATGCGCATCAACCCCGTCGGAGTGAGTTCGGGGTCGGCCAGCTGCGCGTGAACGCGCCTCTCGTAATTGTCGTCCATGCGAGATTGCTTGGCGTTCGCCTTTTCCGTCGGCGCCTTCCTCTTCTTCTCTCGGGATCTCGCCGATCGTTCGTCGGCTGTCGAGGTAGAAGTGCCGGCGAAACCGGGAACTCTAGTTGCCATTACAGTTTGTATTATTTTTTTAAACAACACCGACAATTTTGCGGCTCTTCCTTGTCATTAATGACAACCTGAGTTCGGCCGGGCAACCCAAGATGTCTTGGCGCTCGTCGGCTAGCAAACGCATCCGCCTCACCTCTTGGTACATGGAACCGGAAACGGTTAGAAGATCGTCCAAGAAAACAGAACCTGATTCGGTTGTTCCGGCGCCACGCGGAATATCGGAGGACAACGAGGTCGTCGTCGCCGCCTCCGCAGCTGCTGATGCTGCAGCAGCATCTTCGCGCATGAACACGAATGACAATTTGACAAAAAGAAAGAAACAGAAACGAAAAGTTAAAGTTTTTAACGATTTAATTGTTTCATCCGAAACCTGCACACCTTCTCGCCCATCATCCGTTGCAGCAGACTCGAACATTCCGTCAGACGGGATGTGCTCACCTCGAATATCCGAGGCAGGAGCCGATCTCCGGGAAGTGGTCTCAGCCGATGGAACCTAGGCAGTAGCACGACGGAGTTCTCGAAACGAACGCCGTACACGGTCATCTTGAGCAGGTACAAAGTACTTTCGTCCGAGTTCGATAGCAAGAAATGCTTCTTCGATTCAGTCTGTTCGGAATAGCAGAGCAGAAGCGTCATCAGGTCGCACACGAACTGCTTGACGTCGAACGAACATCTTCTGACGTTGTGGTCCAGATGTTGGATCGCGCAAATTCGTTCGTCGGCCGCGCAGACGTGGACCCGGAGAGACTTTTCGCATACGAAGTGGGTACCGTCCTGCAGCGGTTCCGCGAATCCGCACGCATTCGGCACGCATTCGTGAAGTTCGTCGACGTGGTAGATGTTGTACCGTTTCGCTGTCACGTACGCGTTTAGCGCTGCCGCAGCCATCTTCATAATTTTTTTTCTCTAAATTCCTCTTTTTTATATGTTTCAGGCTTCTAGAGAAACCGGCTGCGACCTCGGATGGATGGAGGAATACCCTTGGATGAAGCAAGCGGCGATGATATCCACCTTGCCCATGTTTCAACCGCAGAACGTGTCGGTTCTGCTCACGTCGTCGATGACCTCCAGCGAGCACTGGTCCCAGGAACTGGTGACGATCAAACACGAGGGACGACCTCTCGTAAAGTACATCACGCAATCGTACCTGTGCGACGCCTGCTTCGAGAGAGGCGTCCGCAAGGTGTGTCCCCACCGGAGGCACCTGGTGCCGGAACACATAGACGGTAGCGAAGGGAACGTGGTGCAGCAGATGATGAATCTGATAGCGAGCGGAAGCTACGAGATGGAATGCATGGGCATTCCCGTCTGCTCGCCTTCTTCGCTTGCCGAACGTCTTTTCTCCGGAAGGTTGCTCTCCCGGCTGTTCGACGAAGAACGGAGGTCCGGCAGGAGATCCGGATTCGCATCCGGTCTGCTGATCGCCGTGGATCCCACGCCGTCGGACGTGTCCGGCATAGGTCTGGTCGCGGGGGCGATGACGTCCGACGGCAATCTCAGACAGGTGAGTCTCATGGGCGGTATCTTGCAAGCCCTGCTTCTCTTCTCCGTTATCCTTCTCAGCGCGTACGTCGCGTGGTTTCGCGGACCTCGGCAGATCGCGGTGCCCCGATCGCCGGCGTCGGCGTTCGACACCCGCGTCT